GCTGGGGTGGAACCTTTGCCTGGGGATGTGAAAATCTTGGGTTTATTTCTATCTTGTCCTTATTTCTGGGGATCAAAACCAGTTGGGTCGCAATCAAAAGAAGATTTGACTGGTTTTGCATATAAAGTTTGGATGTGTATTTATCCATCAGCCCCTGGTGGGATTGACAATCCGATGATCAATCCAATGGTGGAGGATGCTCCAAGCTTATCGGGGCTGGGGTGTTCAAGGCTGCTGGTTTGTTTAGCAGGGAAGGATGCACTTACGCCTAGAGGGATTCTTTACGTTGAGACTCTGAAGAAAAGTGGGTGGAAAGGTGAAGTGCAGCTGGTGATGGTTGATGGTGAGGATCATTGCTTTCATGTATTTGATCCTACCACTGAGAAAGCAAAGGATCTGATTAAGCGTTTGGCTTCTTTCATTTCTTAAACATCTTCTCAAATAAACATGCAGATTCAGATTATGGTTGTAATTTCTGTTGAACATGTTTGTTCAAGCTACAAAATTACTTATATGTAAGATTACAGTTTCATGTGTAAGATAATACAAGTAAATAACCTTGAAATATAATTAAATAAGTTCTTTATTGGTTAGAGTTGAAAATAAATTATTTAATTTAATTAAATAAGTAAGTAAGTTCTTTGGGTATTGAGTTAAGCCAAATGTACAAAAAATCAGTTGACATAACTTCTACCACCTCTCACATGAGGTGGGTCCCATTGGGACCGAGCTCATTAAAAAATGGATAAAAAATTTTTCGACCCCACGCCTTGTGAGTGATCGGTGGAGGTTCTGTGAACCCCCACCTCTATAAGCCCAGCAAAACTCTTGGGTATCTAATTAAAGTATACAGAACCCTCACCTCTGTAAATCGAGCAGAACTCTTGGGTATCTAATTAAAGTATATGCTAAGCCCCTGTTTGGTACTTATTAAAATTTTCATTTTCATTCTTTTACTCATTTTCAACCACACATTTTTCAATAAAATAATATTTTTCATCACATCAATAATTTTTCCTTATTTTTCAACCACAAATTCTCCACCAATCTACTATTCCAAAATACATTATTCCAAAATAATGTGACACAAACACACCCTAAGTATGTGTAGAGACCAAGGGCTTGTTTGGGAATGATTTTAATCCAATTAAAATTGAAAATATAGTCGTTATTGTGTCCCACCCGTCTAATAAAAGTCAACAATAACGACTAATTTTTCAATTTTATTCCAATTTTAATCCTTTCCAAACAAGCTCCAATACTTTTAAGGTTATATTTCATGTGGGCTGAAATAAGAAAACCATAAATAGGGTTAAGGATCTCAATTCATACATGATTCTCATTTTATGTATCATCTCATCAAAACAAGAATAGCAAGAAAAAATATATTGAAAAAGAAAATCTTGAACCCACAATCAACAATTGAGAAGAAGAAATTGAAGCCATCAAAATTATTGAACAAAAAACCGAAATCAAGAAACAAGCAATAAAAATTAAGAAGTCAAAATCAAGAGATTGCAGTTGATCTTCAAGTTTCAAGATCCAATATCAAGAGTTAGTAATAAAGAATTATTCTCAATGAATCAAAGTATGTTCCGCATTTAATAATTCTTTTCATGATTTGACATGAAGGATCTTAACAATAAAGTGTTTAGATTTTCGAGTTTTTAAGATTTAAAGTTTTATAAAATGGTTAAATCTACCAATGACCACCCAACTTTATACTTAATGTCATGACCATTCATTTTGATTTTATTTCACTATGGTCACTCAACTTTATATTTAGGGTCATCATAGCCACCTATTTGATTTTATTTCACTATGACCATTCAATTTCATATAACTTTTCACCATGACCACTCAATTTCATATAACATTTCACCATAGCCACTCAACTTCTTTTCATCATTTTCATTAATTTTAAAAGGGGTAAAACGGTAACTTTGCATTATATATATAAATAAAATTTAAAAAAGTTAAAATAAAAACTTATTTAAAAAACATTACTTAAAAAAATAAAATAAAATAAAATAAAAACTTATTTAAAAAAGAAATAAAATCAAATCAAATAAAAACTTATTTTAAAATTTTAAAAACAAATACTTTTATTTTTGTTTTTTTATTTATTATATATATACATCACAAAGTTATTGTTTTACCACTTTCAAAATTAGTGAAAATAATGAAAAGAAGTTGGGTGGCCATAGTGAAATGTTATGTGAAATGTTATATGAAATTAGGTAGTTTAGTGAAATATTATATGAAATTGGGTAGATATGGTGAAATAAAATCAAATTGGATGGCTGTTGTAACACTAAATATAAAATTGGGTGATCATTTGTGAATTTAATCATTGTATAAAATCTAACGTAGCAAACATGCCAGGTCAAAAATGTATCATGCAAGAATTACTTTTTTTAATAAATATTGCAAGCATTTCTTCACTTTGAATTATGGCCATAGGGAAAAAAAAAAAAAACTCAAACTGTCTTTAGAAACCGTCAATTACGGCTTTGAACCACATGAAATCATTTTAAAATGATTTGGTTTAGATTTCAGTACTTTATCTAAAGTTGAAAACAAAAACACAACTTTTAAGAATTGAAATCTGTATAACTCAAAACTTTAAATTTCGAAAAAGTTTGGTTCAAATTGGACTATGGTTTGATTTGAACTTAAAACAAATTTGATTTAGGTTTAATTTTTCTTAAAACAGTTTAATTTGAAAATATGTCATAGACCCTCCAAACCTAACCTGTTACACCCTTGAGTTATAAGAGCAATGTAGTTGTAATATCCACATCAAACGTAATTGCATTGGCCTCCTGGAATGTGGTATATGACTCCAAGATTGACTAATTAAAAAAAATTGAATTTTGTCTTCAAAACCCTCTTTCAATAGTTTAATCAAGTGCAAGGACTGTTTTTTCAATTTTTATTAAAATTTTGCTCATGTTTGGGATTATTTAAATTTTAAATTAGATTAGTCAAAACATCTTTTTATTACTAAATATTCGCAAATGCTACTCAATTATATTTAAGAATCGTGCTATTTGTCCCGGGACTAAATCCCAAGTCAAACCAGGGGCGCCATTTGACCTGGGATTTAATCCCGGGACAACCAGCAAAAGTTTGTATTTAAACGACTTATAAACAATCGCAAAAGGCATTTAGCTAGTGTTTGTTTGATCAACTTATATTCATCATCTTTTATCGGAAATTACTTAAACTTTAATCAAAAACTTTCTCGAACAACCGCACTTCTTTTTTTTTTTTTTTTTT